CCTTAGATCTGCAGTCTTGCTCAGGAGGAAACTAGGGTGTTTAGTCAGGCGGAGGCAGGGTGGATTGTAGAGGAAGGGACAGAGGAGAGGGGACACATGGGAGGGGAGGTTGGAACAGAAGGGAAGGTTAAGTTAGGGAAGATTGGGTTAGGGAAGGTTGGGTTAGGGAGGGTTGGGTTAAAGAGTGTTTGGTTAGGGAGGTTCTGTTAGGAAAAGTTGGGTCAAGGAGAGTTGAGTTAGGGAACGTTGAGTTAGGGACTTTTAGGTTAGGGAAGGTTAGATTAGTTAAGATTGGGTTAGGGAAGGGGAAGCAAGGGAAAGGAAGGGAAGGGAAGGGGAGAAAGACGGGGAAAAAAGCACTTATAAATATTAAGAAGAAGCAAAGCTTCCCTGTGCTATGGTCCATGCAAAGACTGCTCTAAAATATAGCAAGATTTTTTAAGCAAGGCACAGAATATAATGAAAGAGAATCTTTAGCTCTTGAGGTGAGGAATATTCCTCTTGGATGCCCAGGGTGTGTACCATAGACCAGTAGGATATGAAGTGAGTCCCAGAAGGCTACTTGTCCTATGAGCTGTAGATCTGAAGTCTTACTAGAGTCAGAACAGCTAGAGGTTTCCGGTTGCTAGAATTGCCCTGTGGACCTGGAGGGTTGGTGAGGTCTCAGGACAAAATGAAGCCAAGAGTGTGAACAGTCAAAATGAAAAGGTGCAAACGTGGGAGGCCAGACAGAAAGAGATGGGTGGGGGGAGCTCTGGAATGAAGATGCAGATGTGGTCCCCATTCACATAGCAAGCTAAGAAGTCATTCCAAAACTGATGGAAAAAGAAGAAGATTTTGGTTAGGATTGCAAAAGTAACCAAAAGAAGAAGTAGAATCATACTGTTACCCAATTTGTGGAGGCACAGGAGGTAGATGACCTGAGAAGAAAGTCGACAGGTCCAGTGTAAAGTCGACAAATCACAAACACAAGTAAACTCACAGAGTTATAGAGGTGAGTGGACTAAGATGGAAAGTGGTAAAACAGGTAGAGATTGCTTCTGGAGAACAGGATTATAGTGACCGAAAGACCACAGGAAATGACTTCTATCCAAAGGTGTTATTCATTGGAAACTTAGATTGGTGAGCTCTGCCCTAGATCTAAAAGTCTCAAAAACTTGGGAACAGGAATCTGTGTTCTTGATGAGCCACTCAGTTGATTTGTACGTCCTCAGCCTGGTCCAGGAGCCACTATCTGAGCCCCAGGATGCGTTGGGAGGAGCTGTTTCTGTCTTCCCAGTTTTGCTAGGCTCTGGCGAGTTCCTGGCCTCTCAGATTCCCGATGCCTTTGTGGGTGGGAGTGGGGGCAGTAAGGGTGTCTAGCAACTTCCCATGGAGAAGATCATGGGTCTCATTTTCCTGCCCTCAGAGATGCTCCCAGCTCAGAAGGAAGTGGACTCATGACTGGGCTTCCTGATAATTTCTACATTTCCTTCTTCTTCCTGTTTCAGGATGTACTCATCTTGCTGGCCACTCTGGTTCCCCATGTGAGAAGATGCCTCACTCACCTGACTTTGAGTGACCCCAGCCTTGGTACAGGGTGTGCTGTGACCTTTTTGAACTTTACAGATGGAGAGAAGTTTATGATCTCTTCATGCCTTTGTGGCTGCTCAGATGCACAAATGGTTGCTCAGCTCATTTGGTAATGAGCCGTGTAGTTCCCATGATGCCAATGGAAGTCTCTGCAGTGCACAGAAAAGAGCACTAAGTGGGAATCTGGAGCCCAGAGCCCTAAGCCAGCAGTGACGTGGCTGGCTGTGTGGACAAGGGGTCGAGCCTCCTGCAGCTCAAACGCCTTAGTTTTTCTGAGAGCTGCGCCAGGGCAGGGCCTTGATGGCCTGGCCTCTGGAGTCCTCTTATTTGTACCCTTGCCTCTCACAATGTGTACATGGTAGGCATGGCAACCCTGCTGCTCACTGCAAGGGCTTTGTGAACTGTACCTCGCTGTTTCTGTTCACATACATTAGCACCCTAATCAGCAGGGCAAATCTGCAAAGTAGGCATTATTATCAAGATGGGATGTTAAAATGGGAAGCTTCTATCTCAGGTTTTAAAGGTTGAGTACAAAACAATAGATGTCAACCAGTGGGCCCAGGCCATACACATGTGCAAGGATCACAAAGGGGTAATCAAAAACAATTCCTCCAACTTAGCCTATCACCCCAACCAACATCAGAACAGGTCCTGGTAAATGGGGGTTTTGATACTGGACTGGAGTGAACTTCTCATCACCAGAAAAAGACTGAGCTAGCTCTGCCTGAGGTTTGGTCCCAGGGAAGGATAAACTAGACATGGGAACACTGGTAATGATGCTTAGTGTTCTGTGGCTGCTGTAACAAATGACCACTATTGTATGGGCTGGGAGGAGCTACCCCTGTGTGATACAGTATACTGTCTTACAGTTCTGTAAGTGAGAAAATCTAGCCTGAATCTCAAGCAGGCCGAAATGAAGGTTCTTAGTGAGTGCATTTTTTCTGGTGGCACAAAGGGAAAATCTATGCTCTGGCCTTTGCTGGATTCTAGTGGCTGCCCATGCTTCCCTGGCCCACTTCCTCTATCTTCAGACCAGCAATGTTGGGCCAAGTTCTTGGCATGCTGTCCTCTCTCTCTGGTCCTCTCTTTCCCCTCCCTTCTGTACTTTTAATAACTCTTGTCATTACATTAGATCTGCCAGGATAATTCCTGATAATTTAAGGCCAGCTGATTAGCAACTTTAACTCCATCTGCAACCTTGATTTCCTTTTGCCATAGAGCCTGGGTTCTTCCTAAGTTCTGGGTATTAGGACAGGTTCACCTTTCGGGGCATTACCTGCCCTAGTGAGTACTGGTGGGAAAATAAAATATCTCCCATCTTAAACCATGGTAAATATTGTTCACTTGCTTAGTAAGTAAGTTAAATGAGCCCCCTCTACAGACAGTCTAGGAAGGTAAATTCAGAGAAAGAGTGGTGTCCACCATTGCCTGTGCATTGAGACTCAGGCCTGGGCCCCAGCGCCCAGAGATTCTGATCTATTCTCTGGGTCATGCATTAGCATTTTGTAAAAGTTCCCAGGCAAGTCCAGCAAATAGTCAAGACCAGTGTCTCAGTTACTTCTCTCATTGCTGAGACAAAACATTCAACACCCAAAGTTAGAAGAGGAAATGTTTATTTAGCTCATAGTTTATAGAGGTTTCAGTTCACAGTTGTCTGGCTCCAAGGCAGGGTGGCACGGCAGAGGGGCATTGCAGAGGAGAAACAGTTCATGGTAGGCAGAAGGCAGCAAAGCAGCAAAGTAGTAAAGGAGAAAGCAGCAAGTGAATAGCTTTTTTAATTCTTGGACCCCCTTAGGGGGAAGGTAGCACTCATACCCAGGTTAGGGCACCCTTAATCTTACCCAGAACCTGTACCAAACAAATCAGGGGACTAACTTAGTAATCACACACCAGCATCACACATTTAATTCAAGTATCACACACTCTAGAACTAGCCAACTCTGAAAAGCCCCACCTATGACTGCATGAGGCTTTAGGGGGACAACTAAACACAAAGCATAATAGCCAGAAAGACCTGGGGTCAAAAGAATTACTCCAAGTCATCCAACACTTGTATCCAAAAATGCTTCTCACCTAGGGGTCCCTTACTTCAGAATCCTGCAACATGCAGGTGGGGAGATGCCACCTGTTCTTTCCTGGAGGGAAGGTTCCCCTGACCTGGAGACACAGATTGGTCTCTGGTCCTCCCCCTCCTAGTATGCATCTTGGCATATCATGAGCCTTTCTGGGCTTCATCCAACCTGCAGATCATTCCTGAGTTTTGTCTGAACTCAAGTGAGATTATGGGTGCAAACACATTTTGTGATGTGCCATGTGAATGACAGAGACTGCTGACAAATTCCACCTGCTTTAGAGAAAGAGAGAGAGAGAGAGAGAGAGAGAGAGAGAGAGAGAGAGAGATACAGGCACAGAGACAGAAAGAGGAAGTGGGGTGAGATTTTTTATTACTCTCTATGTGACATTTCTATATTCATATGTTATTTAGATTTCTCTCTGTATATTACTGTGTGTTTTCTTACTTTCTGATTACTATGGTGAGATGAATACTTTTACTTAAGGAATGTTGTATAAAATATAAAAGTATAATTATCACAGTGTTTTTCATAGTTTTCAATTCTATTACAAATAATTGCATGTTGTTCATGTTCTATGGATGTGATATCTACTCTAAATTCTGAGACTATCAAAACATTTTTAAATTCCTTCTTCCTCTGTTGCCTTATTAGTAACTGGCTTTGTTCTTCATAATATTATCAATAGTTGTTAGGTGTACAAATCAATGGCTTTCACCGTGGCGTTTCCATAAACAAACAAATCTTGCTTTGATTGCGCCCACCCTTCCTGCTGTCCTCTCTGGTCCTCCCCAGAGAGTTTACAAAGGTTTGTTTCACAGATGTGTCCCTTGGGAATGAGAATGAGGAAATTTGCTGCGTCTCCAGGAGCCCAAATCAACCAAAAGCTGCTGTTGTAATTGTTTCCTTGCACCTGCTCCCTGTCACCTTCAGGCAAGGCCATAGCGTCTGCTTGCCACAGGGCCCATGGATGTGTCCCTTCCATCTCCACTCTCTTGGCCTTGGTTCCAAGCTCATGGTCCCTGGCTAGAAGTTTGCACAGCTGAAACCTTCACTCTGGAACTGTCCTGAATAAATCTTTTCCATCACTCAGATTGGCACTGTCACTCGGGCCTACCCTCCATGAGCCCCCTTTTTCTATGTCACTGATTCTGCTTGCCTGACTTTCTCTCCTTCTAGAGGGGCAAGGCCCTTGACTCCTTAGCACCCAGAACAGGGCCTGGTACGTGGTAGATGCTCTATGAATATTTGTTAGAAAAAATAGCAGTCCAGGGTTTAAGCCCCAGGAAGATGATCATAATACAGTTTGGTGTGGCCCAAGAATCGCCTTAAATTCACAAATCAGGGTCACGGAAATATTAATGCATGTGGACACTTTATTGAAAGCAAGTGGCTCTTCTAGAGAAAGAGTGACCACAGTGGACAGCATGGGTGAGGCCTCAGGGGAAGGTCACTTGCTGTAGCTCTTGGGACCTGGCTCCGGGAGGTCCAGGAAGTCTTGTTCCAGCTCAGACCCAGCCAACAAATTCTTATCTTCACTCCCTATTGACTGCTCGTCTAGGGCTCCATCTGAAAAAGAGGGGCAGCCAGGTTGGTCAAGGCCAGATCAGGGATTCTCTTCCCCAGTCCTTTTCCTTTGGTCCAGAAAGGTCCCAGCCTCCAGTGGTCATTCCCCACTAATGCCTCACAGACTTCCACCATGGTGCCAGCAGAGCTAAGAGCACCCACTAGGTCCTGTCTCTCACTTCCCCACCTTCCAGGTGCTTCTCAAGGGCATCAAGCTCATCACTACATTCTCGATACCTTTATTATGATTGCATTTCTCTCCTTACTACCTCTGCAACATTAAGTGGTAGGAGCACACAGTTTTCCCTGGGCTAGAATTGCCTGTCCAAGATTTCTATGCAGCTCTTGAAGGGCTACGAGGTTGAAGTTCAGAGTCCTGACCTCTCTTTTGTACCAGAGTTCCTGGCTAGGAGCTCACCACTCAACCTTCCACCTTCCTCTCCTTGGGCTCTCTCTCACTTACTTTGCTGGCCTCCATCAGAGCAGGAGGCTCTTGGCAAAAGGAGCCCCAGACAGCAGTCACGGGCAGGGGCTGGGCCATCAGCATCCAGTAACATGCAGGCCCCAGGCACAAGGCACAGCAGGCTGCGCACACAGCCAGTCAGCAGGTGCTAAAATCAACAACCAGCACCCCACCCCACCCAGCTGTTCCCTGAACCCCCACCAGCCCTGGGCTTCACTACCTGTTGGCGCCTTCAGGGCCTGGATGTACTTGGACCAAAAGGAGCAGTCAGCTTGTTTCAGGTGCTGCCTAATGGGAAGCAGGGTGCTGAACTCCTGGTAGCTCTCTCCGCCGGTGCCTGGGACAAAGTCAGGCCAGGGGGCTGCAAACTCAGGTGCCTTCCGTGAGAACTCATGTGGGTAATTGGGGTTTCTGGGAAATGAGAGAAAAAAATGTCCTTAAGGAAACCTTGTCTCTCCTTTATCACGTGGGGTCCCTGCCTAGCTGCACCCAGTCTCTGAGGGCCATGTCACTTGTCTTGGAACACTGGGTGTGAATGCACAGATCTGACCCCGAGACTGGGACCCTAATGAGGCCCCAAAGCCAGAGGCATAAAGGCTCCCCGGGCCCACGGCTTTCAGGCCATTTCTGCAAGGGACAGATGTGAGTTTGTGATCCAGGAGGATCATGCAGGCCCTAGTGTTGGCCTTTGGTCTTTCTGGGTATTCAGGAGGCCACGGTGCCCTTTGGCCCTGACATCCTCTGATCTGGACACCATCTCGTCTCTGGCATGGTCTGGTTTTCCCAAGGCTCAGGCAGCAGTGTGGGCCCACAACTAAGAAAGCCACCTGCCACCCACGGGTCCCCTTCCCTCAGAAACAGCCCAGCAGCCCCTGCCATCCATCACCACCCACCCTGGCCCATGCCTCTCCTCCATCCAGAATGCTGCCTCCTTTGATCATCTCTCAAGGCCCAGCATAAATGTTCTTTCTCAGGGAAATATGTTCCACAACCCTAATTAGAACAAATGTCTTTTTCAACTCCCGCAGCAAACTACCAAAAGCTTCATTTTGCTTTGCTTCGAGCTATGCTTGGCTTTCATTTTTAGGTGTCAGAACCTTGTGGCTTTGCTGGATCAGGGCATGTTTTACCTGTTTACTTCCTGGGGTGGGGGGGGCTAGCACAGTCCTGGGGAAGGTGCACACATCCCACAAGAAGGCAGAGGGAAATCAAAACTAGGGGAGGAGGCAAGCAGAGGGTCTGGGCGGTGAGGGAGCTGAGTGAGTGTCATGGAGACGGGGAAGAAGTGGCGTAGATCCAGAGGGCCTGCGGCTCACACCCTACAGGCTGTTCCTCCTCCCAGGGGTCTGCCCCCAGGGGTGATGGTCAGTCCCGGGACAGCTCTGTTTGTCACAGCTGGGATGGGTGCGTACCACTGGCATCTACTGGGCAGGGGCCAGGGCTACCATGTAACCTCTTACAACACTGGACGTGCACAGGCAATGACCCGGAAGGAGAGCCGTGAAATGTGGCTGGACCACAGAGGGGCTTGTTGGAAGCTCGTCATGAAGATTAATCTATACGAAGGTGTCTTGGCCAGAGAGGGAGATGAAACAGGATGGCCATGGCCAGTGATCCCAGCATCTAGGGAGGAAGGCTGAGTCCCCTGAGCAGACTGCAGCCTTTTCTTTTAGATGGAGGGGCAGGGAGGGGAGCATATGGCAGAGTTCAGGACAAGTGGTTCGCTCACCCCGATCTGATGAAGTTGGACAAGAACTGCATGATTTTCAGTGACAGGCTTTTCTCCTCCAGGGAAAACTGCCCCTCATAGGCAGGGTAGAAAGGAAGCCCAAAGGCATACTGAACATCCGCCAGCAGGTCCAGGCTGGGAACACAGAGGAAAAGAAGGGGCAAAAGTTAGGGGAATAGTATACCACTGGAGAAACCCACATTCTTCCCGAAACAAAGACTTTCCCACTTTGCGTCTTGTTTAAGATTCCTGTGAAGTGCTCGGCATAGCTGAGCTTCCGCTTGGTCTTGAGCCCGATGGCCCATGGGGCAGATTCATGGCATGGGTGCCAGCCTCAGCTTGCCTGCGCTGAGCAACAGTACCTGGGAGCAACTTTCTGACAGAATGTCCTTTGACCACTTTCGAACCAGGTTCTCAGGGTATCCCTGAATATTTGTTTGCTCACCTATTCACTGACGCAAGTAATAAAAAGAACATAGGCGTCAAGCCTCTCCTCTTCATCAACCCTGTTCCCTATGTAACCAGCCCCCTCGCAGCTCCTCAGAGTGGGTGTTTATCCATGTAGCCCACCCTGGCACTTGCTGCAGGGTAGTTGTCCAATAATACACGCCAAGGCTGGACTGAATCTCTAGAAGGCAGCAGGCAGGGGGATAATGACTTGGCAGACAGTCCAAGGCTCCCATGGGCCAAGCCAGTGGTGACAGCTGAGGAGCCTGCATACTTTGGGTCCTGGGGGGACACTGGATGGTCACGGCGATTCCCCAGGAGAGTGTGAGGGTGGAAAAGCTGGGAGGCCTTTTACAGAGCTGTGTAGTAAAGAATGTGGCTTTTCCCAAAGAGAGGTCTGGGAAATAAGTCCTGCCCAGTGGGAGTGCCTTTGTTGAAGGCGGAGGCCCGGCACATGGGATTTTAAAGGAGATGTGGCGGTGCCTGACAGTCTTCCGGGCTGCAAATGTGAAGCATGCATTTTAGCCCCAATAAAATTGTACACACCAAACTTAGGGGCACTGCTCGGTCCCATTACACATCTGTGCAGAGAGAAGGCCCTGTCCAGACCCACAGGGAGAGAACAATGGAGCGTCACATCTGGAACCTCCTGGGCTTGGCACCATACCTCTCTTCAGATGACTCAGCCTTTCCCTATAGTGAATCATTGCTATAGCACTGCTACTTTCCATGAATTTTGTGAGCCTTTTCAGTGAATAATTGAACCTGAGAGTGGCCTGGGAAAGCCCTGAGATAGCAGTTGGTGTCAGCAGTAAGAGAGATTTTGGGTGGAGACAGTGCCCCGTAACTTAGTAGCTGGCCTTCACACAGCCAAGAATCATCTCTCAATCTTACAGGTGAGGAGAATGGAGGCCAGGGAAGTTTCCTGATTTTCTCAGAAGCACCTAGGAAGTTGAACAGAAGAGCTGGATCAGAGCTGGCATTTCCAGGAAGCGTGACAGGGATGGAGTCAGGGCCCAGGCGGCCACGATTCCTGAGTCGCGCTGCCTCCCGGTCAGGCTGGGTGACCTCTGGCAAGTTACCTGGCCCGGACCGCTCCCCACTTCCTCGAGCGTGGAATGGGTGTACAGACACCTCCTCACATGGCTGCTGTGACCGTCAGGGTGAGCCGGTGTAGGCAAGGAGTGTGCTCAGGCCCTCCTCCCCTTCACCCCACCTGCCCATGGGCTCAGTGGCCTTTGAGGTAAGGGCAGGGCTCTGATGGGCATCAGGCTGGGTGCGGGGGACCAGGCAGGGTGGCTTCTGGATAAAGGCCACCTGCACAGACTCAGTCACATGGGTGTGGGCCACTGTCAGCACACGGTTGGCTCTGGCTGTGACTCAGGTGATCACCAGAACAGGGGGATGAGGACTGCTTCAGCGCAGGGCTGCAAAGGGGACATTTTGAGTGGAGAAGGCACCTTCTCGGATGGTGCTGCTCAGGCTGGACAGGTGTTGGGGCCTGATGCCAAGCACCTGGCTTACTGTGCTTCTGAGGGCTCAAGCCAGTCCCCTGTTATGTGTGGCTATGCATGTCATCACTGGGTGTGCATGTGACTGGTAGCAGGGTGCAGAATGGAGTTAAACCGAGCCAATCAGCTGAGACCTGGCCCTGGAACTTATGACTCTCTCACTGTGGATGAGTCCTTTGATTTCTCTGTGATTGGGTTTTCCTCCTCATGAAGCACTAGATCAAATGAACTACTGCATGCAGCAGCTCTGGCTGCCACGGTGCCTTACAGGTCCTGCATGTCACTGTCCTATGCCATGTGCCTTGTGCTGAAGCCAAGCCTGGAAGGTACAGTAGGTAGGAAACCCTGGAAGACACGCATCGTGGTCAAGAAAAGCAACAACCAGAAAGCACAGGGCCTCTTTGCAACAGCACACAGCCACCCTGAGCCCTCCTGGAAGATGTTTCAGCTTCCGAAAGGGACCCAGAAATGGCAAATGCCACTGGAATTTGTAGGATCCTAGGACCCAAAGAGCTGCCACCTCTACTCCTTGTCTGTTTTTTTTCTTTATTTGTTTCTAATTAACTCATATTATATATATTTACCTTAAGTTTGCATATATTTATGGGGTACAAAATGGTGTTTTGAATTTTTTGCAGAACTAGGGATGGAACTCAGGGCCTCATCCATGCTAAACTGGCTCTGCCCAGCCCTGTTATGATTTTTGAGCGCAGTGTGGGTGATTAAGTTAATTATAATTTTATCTAACTTGTTTGTGATAAGAACATTAAACACACACTTAGTGATATTGAAATGTACATTGTCAGTTATTAGCTCTATTCACCGTGCTGTGCAACTGATCTTAAAATAAAAATCAGACTTCTTTCTCCTCTCTGACAGAGGCTCATCCTTGTCCATTGTGTCCTGCTCCTACCACCCCCAGCCACTGGGAGCCACTGGTCTACTCTCTGCTCACTCTGCTCCCGGCTATCTGAGCCCTCACAATGGCCCAGCTCTGTGGCAAACCACCGGCTCATGATTGGTGACCTTTGGGAAAGGACAGAGAACTCAATGGAACCATCTACACACTTCCTGGATGACAGCCCAAGACTCACAACAACCCAACATCATGCTAGAGACACAGAAAGCCAGTACTCAAACCCAAGTGCCCCAGGACCAAATCCATGTTGCATGTAGTCGCTCCCCCACGGGCAGGGAACTGAGGAACACTGAAAAGTCAGAAGGATGTATTTAGACCCACAGAAGGAAAAGAAAGGTAAGACAAAAATGTCACGGAAGTAGAATTTGTGGTTACAGAAAGAACAGGACTGACATAGACTAGCACTGGGTACTTTACAGGGTGCTGTCGCCATTGCTATGGCAGCAGGAACAGGCGACAGAGACCATTACTCCTTCCAGCAGTGCAGGCAATGGAATCAAAGTGGTCATTTTCCGGCTGAGGCTCCAGAACCATTCCATGGGGCAGCACTGGCCACAGAGCAGCCAGGAGGCCCCGAGTCTACACGGACCACATTCTGCTGTCTTCCCCACCGCCTGCCTGCCTTTCTCCTCAGTGGCACTTGCCCCACCCCTCACCTCGGGAGGCAGGTGAAGCAGCCTGCTTCCTGAGAGGCCATTCTGGGACAGTGGCTGAACTGTTTGCTGTTGCTGCATTAGGAAGTGGTCACAGCTCAGGGACTTCAAATAGCACAAGTGCCATCTTACAGTGCCAGGTTTAGAGGTCTAGGATGGATCTCACTGGGCTGCAGTCACAGTGCTAGCAGGCTGTGTTCCTTCCACAACCCTTGACCTGTTTATTCTGGTGTGTGCTTGGGGAGGAGGACACAAGTCTATCTTTCTTGCTGCTTCACTTTGAGGCTGTTCCCAGCAACCAGAGGCCAGTGGGGTCCCAAGTCCTCAGGTCGTGGGTCCATACCTCACACCTCTGTGACACACTCTTTGGCTTCCTGCTTCTACTTTTAAGGCCTCAGGGATTAGACTGAGCCTACCAGGATGGTGAGTCTCATCTGCAGACCCCTTTGCCACATAAGGTAAGGTATCCGAGGGTATCAAAGTTTAGGACTGGGACACTTTGAGGAACCATACTTGCCTTGTCTACTGTGCCCTCCAAAGAGAGCAGCATTCCACAGCATCCCCTGTGGCAGAGGAAGTAGGGACGAAGCCCTGAGACCACGGTCCTCAGTCAGAGCCCAGCACAGTCAGGTCATGATAAGAGGCACACGCTTCCTGGGCCTCTGTGTCCTTGTCTGGGACCTGCTGATGCAATCCCGATGCCCTAGTCCTTGATAAGGTTTAGCAATGGAACTTTCAGACCTCTGGCCCCGTTTCTGACTCATTTGCCCACTCTCTTTGCCTTTCCCGAGGGACATCTGCAAGGTTAAGTGTGAAGATTGTTAGTCCAGGGCCTCTGCAGGCTTTGTGTCTCCCAAAATTATGTGTGAGATGCTGTGAAACTGTGTCTATGTGCATCTGTATTTTTTTGGTAGTCCTGGGGAGTGAATCTGGGCCTTTTGCATCCGGGCTACATCCTCAGCCTTTTTTAGTCTTTGCTTTGAGACAGGGTCTTGGTAAGTTACTAAATTGCCCTGGATTGATTTAAAACTTGTCATCTGCCTGTCTCAGCCTCCCAGAGTGCTGGGATTATAGGAGTGCACCATCACACCCAGCTTATGTTCATCTTCCTCGAGAGATGCTTCACACACATTACCACCTTCTCCAGAAAGGCTGCCGATGGTGAGCTGGTGAAGGCTCAGGGGCTGGCCCTTAGTCGGGAGGGCAGGCTTCCTTACAGCATTTGCTGATTTCCAGATTGTAAATGCTTGCGTCACAGCCACATTCAAATTGTCAGTGACATCACTGAGCAGGGAGAAGGGTGGAGGCACACACAGGGGCTCTTGGGAACTGGGGCAAATCGTCTCCTCCCACTGCAGCCTTGGCCTCTGAAAGGCCAGGGGAGACTGTTCTTGGGGGGAAGCTCTGGCTTCCTGCCCATCCTGCATGTGTGACTGGGAGCTTAACGGGGACGAGAACTTCTGCCCGTTTTCCCTAGCAGGGCAGATCTCTATGGGGATGCTGGAGTTATTTTGAGCAGTTTAAGGCTGACATCTGGAGGAGGGACTCAGAGAGGGAGCCTGGGAGGAGAGGATGCTGGCTCAGAGGGTCACCCCTCAGTGGGTC